CCTCTACCAGGATTCGACGAGAAGATTGAGTATGAGGTAACTCAATTCTGTAGTCGATCCCCTACTCGAGTTCTGCTCCCAGCTGCTCCCGCGCTCCCTCGTGCACCTGGCTGGGAACTGCTCGGTCTTGCTGCCCCTGGCCGTGGATCCCCGCTCCTCCTGCTGCGCCTGGCTGCCCGAACTGCGGCTGGTTCGGCTGTCCCGTGCTGTTCCAGGGATGACGTTTTTGTGAACCGCACGCCCGACATGAGCATGGAAACAAACTGCATGATGCCAAATGTTGTCCAGAGCCGAAAAGCGGTCGCTGCTGGGCAGGCGGCCCTCTCTCGGATGGACAGCGCCAGCGGCGGCACCGACAACGACTCCCGTTCAAAAAACGACAGGAACTGGTGTCAGTCTTCGCCTTCTTTCCGTGCCCATCCCGATCGCACCAATGCATGATCCTGCCCAGACGTGTGGCTTAATCGGACGCTCCCGCCTGTTTCTGGCTATTCCTGTTGGCCCTGTGGCACCCGATGTCTGAGAACGTGATTGGTTCGGCTGCTCCTGGCTGTTCTTCGCTGTTCCCGTTGCGCACCGTTGCTGGGAATCGGCATGGGTCAGCTAATCCAGGCCGTTACCTCTGCAGCAGCCTGGGGATCTGCTTGGTTCGCCACGGTTCTGAGGAGAAATTCCATGCCGCCTCCACTCGACCCAGTCCCCGCGCCCCGATCATACAGTGGCAAAGCCTCGAAGAGCGGGCCCCGCTGGAGCACTCGTCGCCGATGCGGAGCCAGCGCGCAGGTACACCAGCGGGCCCAGCCCTATCATCGGGTCTTTGGGAACCCCCAAGGCTGGGGGAACGAACAGTGACACAAACCTACAACCTCGGAGGCCCGCGCGGATTTCTCGGATCCGCGCTGGACCCCCCCGAGTTTTATGTGTGTGTGCCATTGCCCGTTCCCCTAGAGGCGCGTTATAAAGTGGCCCCAGGACACACAAATACATACACACAAATAAAAAGATTACCCATATTTTCCATATATTTGGGATTTTCGTCTTCCCCCCCACTTCCCATATTTTCGCATATTTTTGGGGCAGTCGACGATTCATTGTGTCTGTGTGTGTTTTTCCCCTCCTGAGCAAGGAGGGAAGGGTCGGCGCCGACCCGGGAGACCCGTGCGGACCACCAGAATCGGGGGCGCGCAGAGATGGATTGGCGACCCGTGGATTTGGCGCGCGGTCGCCAGCTCCATGCACCAGGCGAGGCGCCCTCCCCAAAGTGCGGCCCGTGCCGCCCCGCTCGGCGGCGGGAATCCGCGGTCTCCCACGGAAGCGTCCCCTTGACCCATGTCTGCGATCGCCCAACCGAAGTGTGTGTGTGTGTGACGTGGCCCGTAAAACACTAACACCGAGGCCTGTGCCGTCGACTGTGGGGCTCACCTTCTGCTTCCCCAATTTCTGGCGCTGGAGCCGCCCCCGTGCTGCTTCCGCCGGCCTCCGCCGCGGAGGAGGCGCCGACGTGCGTCGAGCCCGGGCAGGCGAGGCCTCTTCCGGGGCGCCCACCGAAGAGAGCCGCGCAGGCCGCCGGGATCTGATGCTAGCCCGTTCCCCTATCATTGACTGAGCATTTTCTTAGGGTGGAGGGCTCAGGGTGAAATCCATGTGGGCTTTTGCACCTCGACAATCAATTCGTCTTATGATTCACCTTTTGCAGATTCAAGCCTCGAAAATCCATCGAAACGGCATTTCAGATTTCACCCTTTGCCCTCCACCCAAAGAAAATGCTCGGATTGAAGGGGCCCTGGGACACACAAATAAATACCAGGACAGCGCTTCGTGGCCCCATAGGGAGCTCCACCGAAGGCCTCAATCGGGGTGTTCGCATGCGTCCTTTCCACCCGGGACAGCGCTTCGTGGCCCCATAGGGAGCTCCACCGAAGGCGCCAGAGGCGCAGTTCGCATGCGTCTCCGCCACCCATGACAGCGCTTCGTGGCCCCATAAGGAGCTCCAGCGAAGGCCCCAATAGCGCAGTTCGCATGCGTCTCCCTCGCCCAGAGCAGCGTTTCGTGGCCCCATAGGGGGCTACACCGAAGGCCCCAGTGGCGGTGTCCACATGCGTCCGCGCCACCAATTTCGGCGCACCCCTCACAAGTTTCGTGGCCCCATAGGAGCTCCACCGAAACCGGTACCCACAATGCGGTACTCGCAACTGCACATGGTTGGGTCCTTCGTCAGGCTAATTGGATTTTCGTCTTCCCCCCCACTTCCCATATTTTCGCATAATTTCCTGGGAGTCGACGATTAATTGTGTTTGTGTGTGTTTTCTCCCCTCCTGAATCATCCTCTTGCGCATTGTTGGAGGCCTGGAAATGGACACCAACACCAAGGCAGGGGGCTGCCTCCACAGGGGGGAGAGGCTCCTAGATTTCGGTCACCTTAGAAACCAGAACATTACCACCCTCACCGAGATCGAAATCTTCTTCCCTCGGTGGAGGAACACCGCCGATATTGATGCTGGCGTCAACCCCTACGCCTGCGACATTGGGCGAGGCAAAGACACAGAGAGCGGGGTACGCGTGGCACCTCATCCAGCAGATTGCCACGTGTGCGAATGTCAAGGGGGTGCTCTGGGTCGGCGCTGTGTGTTGCTTGCGTGCCTCTGGGCCAGACCACGGCTAGGAATGCCAGCGGGAAGATAGCACGACTCTCTCGCAGCCCCCTCCCCCTCCGCTCAGGCCAAGTCTTGGGTGATCAGAGCGAGGGGGCCGAACGGTTCTACACTGTCCCTGGGTGCGTGGCTGAGGTGGGATTCCGCGGGTCGGACTCTGCTTGTTTGAATTCTCGCTTCTAGAAACTAAATATTGTTCATTCCACCCGCTCCCGGACACCTTTTGTTTGTCAATTGAAATGCTCCTCCCAGGGCTCGCACCGTGTCTTTTACAGCTGAACATCTGGAGCCTCAGACTGCGCCCATGGCCCCCGAACTACGTCAACAGCTCCCGCCTGCTACTTCCTCACAGTTCATGCCCTCTGGCGCGAGACGTCCTCACAGTGTATGCAGGAATCGCGCTCTCGCGTAGGAAATCTTCGCAATCTATGAAAACGCCACACCCTCGGCACTCAAGAGTCACGCTCTCGCTCTTGATTCCCTCACGGCTCTGAGTATCGTTTAACCGATCCCCATCCCCAGCGGCATGGCCTGGACCCCGCTGACGATTTACCCCCCTAGATGGGATATAGGCCGTTCCCTTCGGGTTTCGAGGGGTGTATCCCCAACTGGGGGGCAATTTTGTGGGGGTCTCGAAGGGGATGGGGATGGGGATGGCGGTCGGTTGAACGATACTGAGCGTTATCGCTCAAGACTTCCTCGCGATCCATGCAGAACCAACGCCTCAGCGACCCGCCCGCTCGACCAGGCCGTCTGAGATCGCCGGCCCGACCGGCCAGTCAGGGTCCGTCCGCCCGACGCGACCGTCTGGTTATGCCGCTTGTTCTCCTGCTCCTAACCTTAGGTCGGGCCTGTCCCCCTACACGCGGACCTTGGGCGAAAAATCAGAAATACTCAAAAAGCACCCGCAACTTATCAAGAAATCATCAAAGAATCGTCCCCAGGCATTTTTTTTCTATTTTTGAATATTCCTCCTGTAGAGGGACATGCCCGATTTAAGCCAAACACGCTCCAATTAATCTCTTTCGTGCTTCATCCTTTTCCCTCCCCCCGTTTTCCCTTCCCTCATCCCTCCCTTCCCGTGTTTCAGGGGCTGCGCCAACGACACTTCGCAGTTAAATAAAAAACCCAAGGGGAGTACGATCGAGGACGAAGAGGGCGGGCATCGAGGGTTCGGAGGAAGATGAGCAGGAGGAGGAAGAGAAAGATGATGAGGAGGATGCCCCTCCCCCCCCAGGCTGTCGTTGGGGAGTGCTGGGGGGGGCAGCATATATATATATATATATATATATATATATATATGTGTGTGTGTGTGTGTGTGTGTGTGTTGAACGACACCCGAACAACCCAACATTCCTAAAATGATTGTTGTCGTTAATTATGCCGTCCTCGCCCGCAGCCCTCCCGCGACCCAGTCCGCGACCCGCCCCGCGACCCACCCAGCGACCTACCCCGCGACCAACCCGCGACCCAACCGTCACCCGCGACCCACCCGCGGTATTTTGGCGAAAACTCGGCGCCTGCGGCGGGCTCGCTGTGTAATGTGTGCACACAGTCGGCGCCTGCGACGGGCTCCCCCAAAGCCTCGCGGACTGTCAACGACCCCGCAGCTTTCTCACTCCTCCTCGGGGAGACGTAAGTTAACGGGCGAAGAACGGTGGCACCGTAGGGGTATAAACTTTCCAGCCGCCCAGGGACAGGCGCCCCCGACAGCGAAAAAGTTCATTTTATACCGTAATTCGCTCGCTGAGTAAGACACGGTCCTGGGGACTCGGGTTGGACTGACGGAGCCGTCAGAAAAAGAACGAGGCCCAGTCTGAAGTTTGAAAACTAAACCGTCAAAATCCGGGACGGGCTCGACAAGAAGCCTCGGGGGACACGAATTCTGGCGAACTCGAATGTTGCGTTGCCCCAATGATCCGTGAATGCCGGGGCTATGGTAACACAGCAGAACATGCCGACCTGCGCCGTCACATCTCGGCGGCGAGCAGTGGGGGGGAAGTGAGAAGGAGAAAAAGCCTTCTCGGAAGGCGGCGGAACTTCTCAAAACCCTCGCGCCTTCTGAGAAATCCTCCGCGTCTTCGGGGAAGGCTCCGAAAGCTTCCCGGAAGGCCGGAGGCCTCCCGAGCCTGCCGAGAAGGCCCGCCCCCTCTCTTGGACGCCTGGTGGCTTCTCGGTGAGTTGCCTCGGCTCTCCGGCGGCCGCTCGAAACGACCCGAGGCAGCCCGGGAGCGCCCTCGGCGAAGCGCGGCCGCCGGAGCGCATCCCCCGAGGCTCGACGACCGCCGAGGAGCGACGGCGACGCCCGAAGACCTCGAACCTCGAGCCCGCAGACCTCCCGAAGCTCCC